TGGAGCATTAGTGAGTTCAAAAGAAATTACTTGATAGTCATAATGTACGTATCATAAAATAATATTCAGAACATCTTTTGGCTCAATTCGGATTTGGTGATAATTAGATCTGAAATCAATCTTTGAAAAGACGCAAGCACCTCTCAACTAATCAAACAAATTATCTATGTGAGAGACAAGTTACTTGTTTTTTATGGTAATTTTATTAAGTTGGCAATAATCGGTGCAGAATCTCATGCTTCCATCTTTCTTTTTAACAAAGATGACGTACGCTCTCCACGGAGAGCGATGAAGTGTTTAGCCGACAATAAGAATCCACTTAAATAAAAAATTTCTTTTATTTTTGTTACTTTTTGGTTGACTTTATTAACGAGTGTTTTAAAAGTATTGGTTAAAAAGTTAATTAAGAACATAAAATATTTAATAAAATACATTAAATGCTATTTAAGTCATTATTATTATTTCTTTAAATAATTAAATATATATTATATAATACGTTAAATATTTTTAATTTTTATTATTAATACATTCGTTAATAAGTTTTTTCTTTCTAGGAAACAATAACCTCCCTCAACTTCCATGTATATTAGTTATATTCAAAATTAATTTTGATTTTTGATTAATTCAATTCGCGGACATTTAATGGTTATTTTTTTATTCGTTAGACTTGAACACTCTTAACACTCGAATTAATGGTCATTAGTGTGTAACCGTATTTGTAATACATATTAAACATGTATTTAATAGAATTTCCGAAATTGACAAGTATTAATCAAATAAAATATTTATAATATGTTAAAACTTACCTAATTAATTTTCACGTACGTGGCATCAGTTGATGTTCGAATCATTTTGCCATGTTGAAAACATTTTTAAAGCATTCTAAATTAGTTGTGAACACAGCCTGTCAACTATTTTTCCACACCTCGTTTTTCACGGATGCGTCGATATTTGCAATTTATGGAATGCACAGGGTGTTCGCGATCTGGATTGAATCAGTTTTGAAGCAAAAATTATCCGATCCAATCCTTTCGGTTTGATCATATAATTATCCATTCGGTTTGGATTTTTTTTCAAATCCGATCCGATCCAATCCAATTTTTTTCGGTTTGGATTGGATCGGTTTTCGGTTTTTTGAAAATCTTAAAATTTATTTCATAATTATTATGCAAATAACATCTTTTTATATATTGGCTTTGTAATTTTTTTTTTTTTGAAATACACAAGCATTAGTAATCTATAATATAATTTTTTTGGACAATGAGATATGAAACTCTACAAAAATAAAATTTTGTTGATGAGATGTGACTAGATTTTTTCTTGGATTTAGTTGATGAGTTAATGGATCTTGAGTTTAGAAATTTTTGATTTATGATGGGGGAAAGACCCAAGTAAGTAGAGGAGAAATAATATATTGGATCGGTTTGGATTGGATCGGTTTTCATCAACCCATCCAAAATTCGATCCAATCTAATTAAAATTTGCGGGTTTTTCGATTTTCGATTTATTCGGTTATCGATTTTTTGATTTGGTTACCGCGGTTTGACTCGGTTAATGAACACCCATGTCCACTCTCTAGTTGTCTCCGCGGGAGTACAATATTACTTATTTTGAATTATATTGAATACTGAAAATTAAATAATAAAACTATAAAAATTATAGATTAAATAATTAAAATTATATTTATAAAATTTATAAATTCAAAAACAAAAATTGATAATTAAAAGTAAAAACGTTTTATTATTCATTTTGTAACTTTTATCACTAATTATATTTTTTAAAAAAGTTAATAGAATATTTTTTATAGTGTATCGAAATAGAATAATGCTTATTATACATTGTTTGAAACTATATTTTCTCACATTAAAAACTGGGGACAAAATTAAAATATAAGTTTATGAAGAATAGTGTCGTATTATTAGTGGGGTCACTTGGTGTTCACACGCTGAATTTTTTTAAATAATCATAAACAGCATTCAACACTTAATATGTATGTAAAATTGTTTTGTAAAAAAAAAAATACGACACACAAAATTTTCTTTGTGAGAATTAGTCTCATCATAATATACTTGTTTTCGATTGGAAGAGAATTGTCTTCTTTGAAAGATATCTAGGATTTGTTTAAAATAAACAAATAAAAAATACATTTTAATATAACTTACCAAGTTTACAAGTATTAAAGATAAATGAAATATGAGAAAAGTATTTCTCCAGTTACTACTGAAGATAAATTTATCTCCAGTAAAATCAAAACGACGTCGTTTTGGGTTATAAAATTAAAAAATTATACTGGTAAAAACTAATATAACCTTGCAATATATTAGAATTACAAAAACACCTTGATTTTTGTTTCAAAATAACGTCGTTTTGAATTCACTGGAGATAACTTATCTCCATCGACAGGAGAAATCTTTTACCATGAAATATATATATAAATGGGTATTTGAATTAATTTATTTTGAGTTTAATATTTTTAATAATTTTTTAAAAATTAACAAAATAAATATTTTCCCACAATTTCACGTCTACAATCGTGCTATTATCTCTCTACCTAAAAGTATGAATCATAATTAATGTTTATTTTGTTTTTTAAAAAAAATATGAATCATAAGTCGTGTCAATAATTGGAGATCATTTTTGATGCAGTTGGACCACCATCTTTTTTGTGGTGCATTCTCACAAATGGGAAAGAAAAAGAGAAATTTTTTTTTGGATAAAACTGAAAAAAAAAATTGGTCCATGTGATAGAAAGCATCCAATTATTTAATCATCCTGAACTATTTTAAATTTATTGATGTAGAGATTAATTGGCCAACAATGGGACAATTTTATATATGCATTCTAGTCCACTCATGTTTGGAAACCGCGTTTTTCACGTACGCATATGTTATTACCCCACCCGTCATATGATGACACAGCATGTGCCCTTCTACTATTAAATTAATGGAAAATGCTAAATAACACGGTTGTTGTGATCTTGTGATCAATCTTCAGCCATATTTTATAACATCGTGAATAGAATTGGATAAATTTCTAATATATAATGTAACGTACTTTCCCCCCTTCTTTTAGATGAGTATAATGTAATATATTTTATTAGGAGAGTGAGATCTGTTATCGTTTGAGGGTTGAACTGCGAAGTATCATATTCAAGTTCTAGATTGTACTACTTAATTTAAGGTCTTAATCAAGTGAAATAGTTGATTATAAAACTTATTTGCATTCTCATTTGAAAATTGTATCATATGACATCTATAATTTAAAAAAAATATTATTTTTATTTTACATAAGATAGTTTTCTCATATTTTCTTACTCTGAAAATCTTACCCTCTTATTTTTTTTTCCTTTAATAATGAACTCTATCTAACTTTTCTATAGCATGAATGAACTACTTTCGTATAAAATAAAAGTAATATTTTTCATTAAAAAAAGGATTAATGTTTCTCATATGATAGGAGATAATTTTATCTCCTACGCACACATAAAAGTATATGGAGTCCATATGAAGAGGAGAGAAAGAAAAAAAAATATGAGTCTCATACATTTTTATGTCTGCATAAAAAAAAATTTATTTTCTACAATATAAACAACACTAAACCCCTTAAAAAAACACTCATAAAAGTTGTAAACGATTTTTTTCCTTTTTCCTTTTTTTTTTTCCACATCAGCTATGCTCCAACAAAATACAGTACAAATTCATGATACCCACAAGTGACACCAAACCTTATCCATAAGTAAAGAAAATGGATCGTTGAGCTGGCACAACCTTAATTATTTGGTCTTAAAATATAGAGTAAATATTTTTTTCGATTCTCAACAAATTTTACAATACCTGCTTTAGTCCCTAACAAAAAAAAAAAAAGCTATTCATGATCCCTAAAAAATTTAAAATGGACTCATTTTAGTCCTTTTGAGGAATTAATGTGGATCTTTTTTAAATTTATGAGGAACCATGATTTCAACAGAATGGGTCCATTTTGAATTTCTTAAGGACCACAAATAGTCTTTTTATTTGCTAGGGACTAAAGCAGACATCGTAAAATTTTCTGAGGACCAAAAAAGATATTTACTCAAATATAAATACTTTTTTCTCATTAACAAAATATGAATGTCTTTTTCTAATAAGAATGAAAAAAAAACAAATATGTATAAAAGGAAAAAGGCATGATAAAGGAATATAATAAGCTTTAAAAGTAAGTTTTTTTAGTAGTTCCCTTTCATGACATTCTCTTTGATTCCATGTTTGCACTATACATAGATATTAACTTTTTAAGTGGTTATTTTAGAATTCGAAACAACCCCGCGGCCTTAGTTGTATATACACGGAAATGAGGGGCATGGCTGCAATTGCAACACTTTAATATTTTAACTTACGATAAAATAATTAATCAATTATCTCTCCTTTTCCTTTTAACGTTTTTTTATCATTTGTTGAGTATAGCCTTCCTTTATAACAGAAGTTTGGGTGTAACTTAAGTTATAAATTTTTCGTAAACATATTGCTGTTAACTTAATATTATAACTACCACAATTTAAGTTGAGTTTTTAACTTCATTTGTAGGAATTGTTATAGCAACATTTTCTGTAGTTTTAAAATAATACAATATGTTAGATTTTATTATATAAGCTTTGTTTTAGAAACATGCATGTATATAATTTGCAGTTAACATAAACTCAATATAAGTATAATTTCCGTTAAAAATGTGTTATTTACTATTTTGAAGTGTTTTTTAATTAGCTAGAAGAGAAGCACTTTCAAGTTCAAACTGATATGAGGTCAGGGACATAAGAGTCATTCCAAGTCCTTGATATATATTTATGTAACTTCCCTATTATATATTTTACGTGTTCATACTTGATTGCTCAAAAGTCGTAACAGCAGAGCAGATATCTTTTGATTCCTTTTTCATTACATTTCAAATGACGAAAGTAGCCTTGCAGGGTCCTATAAAATGAAAGCACACCCTCTTATGCTACATTGTCTTAAAACTATCAAAAACTTGAAAGTTCACACAGAAGAAGAATCAGAATGGCACTCAATCAAGAGTTAGAAGCTGTCACCAAAGCTTTCTCAGGTTCTCTCTTTAGTTTAAGACACTCCTTTCAACTTGTACCAATATTAACCTCTCTCTTTTTTTCAATATTATTAACATACATGTCCTTGATGATTGTGATGGTTAATAATTGATGATTTCAGGGCATGGGGTGGATGAGAAAACATTGACAACAATATTGGGAAAATGGGATCCTCTGGAGAGAGAATCTTTCAGGAAGAAGACACCACATTTCTTCAGTGAGGATCATGAACGCCATTTTCAGAGGTGGGATGATCACTATGTCCGTCTTCTCAAGCATGAATTCGTCCGTTTTAAGGTACATTGTTTTCTTCTTCGGTTTATTTTATATTTTGAATTTTGGTTAGTTTATGTTATATACAGTCAATTTAATTATTATCTTTTATCCTTGTTTTAAAATAAAATTATCATTTTCCTCCCCTTCTTAAATTATATAATTAACAATGTGCCCTTTTTTTAAAAAAAAAAAAATGACTTATCAAGGACTAAGATGAACAAGGGACAGATTGCGAAAGGAAAACTATAAGATTAGCTTTCAGGACCACATATGGATTAAATAATATATATATATATATATATATATATATGGGTAATGATTTTCTTCAGCAGAAAATAAATGGTTCGTGCACTTCCGTGTTTTTTTCTCTTTTGTTTATTGTTTTATTATAAATCAATGGAAGCGCCACTTTTTGTCTCGAAGGCATTTATTTTCTCCTGTTAAAAGACAAATATATTTATATATATTTATTTATTTCAGCCATTAATTTTTATATAATTTATTGAGTTATATTAATTAATTAATTATTAATTTATTTAAATAAATGATAACCGTTGAATGGACTGAATGGACGGAAATAAAGTGAAAAGATTATTTGTTATCAATTGTCTAAATAATTATCTTTTTGGGATATATTTTAATTTGATTATATGGTAAAATATGAGCGAGAATTAATTGAATTTATATTATTTTTCATTAATGTAGGTTATAGTTATACGAAGGAAATCAAGGAAATAATACTCTCCTTTTTTATTATTAAGTTCTATTTAAAAAAAATAATGACGAAATGTAAAGACACGTTCTTGCAATTATCACAAGACTTTATTAGAAATAAGATTCAACTAATAAAATGAAAGAAATCTGATTTGTAGTCCCTTATGTGATTTAACCAGAATGCTGTGGTGCTTTGGACCATGCACCCTTGGGAAAGAGATGCCCGTTTAGCAAAAGAGGCACTAAAGAAGGGTCCAAGTTCATATGGAGTGCTGATTGAGATAGCATGCACAAGATCCTCAGAAGAACTTTTGGGAGCTAGGAAGGCCTACCATTCACTCTTTGACCACTCCATTGAAGAAGATGTTGCCTCTCACATCCATGGCATCGAACGAAAGGTGAGTTACACTTGGCACCATCATATTATATTGGTTCCCATAAGACTATCATATTGAAACTTTGACAATCATAAATTGTTCTTTTACTTTGTAGGGCCCTTTCCTTATAATGTATAAATGCTTTATGTAAAGCAATTGAGTTATTGTTTGTAGACAATGTACAAACTTAGAAATGAGATGCAAGATGTATTTGATAAAATAAATAAACAGAAATATATTTCTGCAGTTACTAATCCTGAAACTCCATGATTACACAAATATGGAAAGTCACATATTCGAGTGTAGGAAAATGCACCACCTCATTGATCTTAATGTCTTTGTTGTATATGCCATTTGTAAAGAATTTTGAGATACACCACCTCAAAAGCTTATAGGGTGGGAGTGCCTAAGGCCTTACAAAGGCCACATAGTTGCTCATACAACCAATGTGGGACTATATATCTCAACACACTCCCTCACACAAGAGCCTATTGAGCTTGAATAGTGGATGATGCAACAGGCCCAGCCTACCTGTGCTAAAGAAATTCCACTAGAGAAAGTGGGAAGCGACGAGGATCGAACCCGAGACACGAGGCTCTAATACCATCTAAAGAACCTTAGAAAGGGTGAGAGTGCCCAAAGCCTTATAAACTTCACATTGGTTGCTCATACAACAAATGTGGGACTATATATCTCAACATTATAAACTCCACATTAGTTGGCTCATACAACTAACGTGGGACTATATATCTCAACACCATTTGAAATATAACATTATCTAAGTCAACACCTATTTCTTTTGGAAACAGCTCTTGGTTGCACTTGTGAGTGTCTATAGATATGAAGGATCAAAGCTTAAAGACGACACTGCAAAATCAGAGGCCAAAACTCTTTCCAATGCGGTGAAGAATGCTCATAAGAAGCCTATTATTGAGGATGATGAAGTAATAAGGATATTGGCAACAAGAAGCAAGCCACATCTCCAAGCAATTTACAAGCACTATAAAGAGATATCTGGCAATAACCTTGACGAGGTATTAGACACTACTAAAGCACCATTACAAGTTCTATCATAATCCTCTTATTATTTTTGTGCTACCTTAAGTTTTGAGGTTCTGTTTTGCTTTAACTTCGGATATGGTATTTTCTCTCTGATTAAAACTTCATTATCTTTGGCTAGGATCTTGATGACTTAAGATTTAAAGAGACTGTGCAATGCCTTTGTACCCCGCAAATATATTTTAGTAAGGTAAGATGAAGTTACAAGTTTAGAATCCAACCTCTAAAAGTGTTTGCTTCTGCTTTTCTTTCTTTTAAATTGCATTTTTTTCGGTCCCTAGGTTTTGGATGCAGCATTGAGAATTGATGTGCATAAGAACACTAAGAAAGCACTTACTCGTGTGGTTGTTACTCGAGCTGACATTGATATGAAGGAGATAAAGGCTGAGTACCATAACCTATATGGAGTTTCTTTACCCCAGAAAATTGAAGAGACAGCTAAAGGGAACTACAAGGATTTCTTGCTAAACTTGATTGCTAGAGGAAACTAATTGAAGAAATTGAATTGAGAACAATCCCGAATTTGAGATTTTAATTTCTATCCCCTGTATTGTGTTTCCACCCAAATTTATGTAGTTTGTTGCTGATCTTTTTCTCTGCATGATGCATCACTCTTGTATGATTATTGTCACATGAGAATAAAAAAAAGTATAATCAAATAAAACTGTTCTGATATTTCTTCTGAATCTTAGTCAATATCCTTAGTTATCATGGTGTGACAATTTTGTGTGTGTTTTATATTTTTTAGAGTTAAATGCATCGTTTATTTTCTCTGATTCTTAAGGTATAACTGTAAAGAGATGAATTGTCTTGAATGGAATGATTATGATTGATGCATTTGTACAATATTTATACAGTAGTAGGGTTGGGAAATCCCTATATAAAAGAACTGAAAAGATAAAGGAAAGACGATTAATCACATATCCTAAAATCATTCTGCAATTACGTATAGAGAGAAACTAGAAAACGATTCCAATATCTCAGCAATACTCCTATTATCAAGAAGATAAGATTAGCTACAATGTGAAACACTGCCTAGAAGAGTCATTGTCACAGAAAAGAGGTAACGAGAATCACAAGGCATCCACTTACAACTCTTGTAAGAGGCGAACCAAAAGCGAGATTTCAAAATTTACTCTTAAATTTATGAAAACACATTTGTATATGGGAAAAATTATATTTACAAACTTTTATAAACTATGTTTGTAAACGGATCCTTCCCCTTTATACCCCTTTATATATTATAACAAGAAGTCTTTAATGCATGAGGGAGGGCCAGTCTAAAATGCAAAATTTGTTAAACTAACTTACATTATTAGCTAACATAGAACTTCAGGGTGTTACACAAAACAAAGATAGGACTAAAAAACAGACTCAACAAGAGAAACTAAATGAGGTGACAGATTCAGAGACACGAATACGACTAACAGAAAACCATTGAGACGTGTCCTTAATTAGAACAATTACATTAGCCTTCTTTCCCCAACAGAGTGAGGAGGAACTTCTTGTAGTCTCTTGAGATTTCCTTGGACACTGCATCCTCAAGGTGAACATTGTTTCTCTTGTAATATAGCTCTTTAATGTCCTTCAGGTCCTCCTCAGCCCTGGTCACAATCACACGAGTTAATCCATCATCAGTTCCAACCCTTTTCATCGCATTGCACAGAACCTACATAATGGGGATTCATGGTAAAAATTGTGGTATTATTTGATGTTATATCATAAAATAAAAATAATAAAAAATAAAATCGTAAGCAATAGTAGAACATCTACTATGATATGATTGAAAGCAAAATGCGAACGTATATCTTATTTCACACAAACAATCAAAATAACTGGTTACAAAAATTACAATCTGTACGAAGTTATTAAATGGTGTATTTAACTTATATATATATATATATATATATATATATATATATATATATGAATAACATCTATCCTTTTTAAGGATATAAACTTATATTCTTTTAGATCCTAACCATTGATTTCTGTCCATCAACGGTTATAATTTATTGGATTAAAATTATTAATTAATTAATAATAAATTTGGCCCATTAAGTTTGGCCCAATAAATTATAACCGTTGATGGACGGAAATCAACGGTTAGGATCTAAAAAGATATAAACTTATATCCTTTAAAAGGATATATGTTTTTCCCTATATATATATTAGAAAAATATTTCTGCAGATAAATTTTTTGCATTTACTCCCAAAACGACGTCGTTTTGGGATTGAAATATTAAAAAATTATAATTATAAAGATTATAATAATCCTGAAATAAATTAAAAGTATAAAAATACCATGATTTCCGCCCAAAACGACGTCGTATTTGACTTACTGCAGATAACTTATCTGCAGTAAATGCAGAAAAAATGAACCCTATATATATATGTATTTATATATATATATATATATATATATATATGTGTGTGTGTGTGTGTGTGTGTGTATATACTTACCACCAAAAAAGTTTACAACCTTTATAACCAATCTAATAACTGTTGATTTCCGTCAATCTAAGGTTATAATTTATTGAAAATTAATGGGTCATATTTATTAATAATTATTAATTTCTAATAAATTATAACCGTTAAATTGACGGAAATCAACGGTGATTATGTTGGTTGTAAAAGTTGTAAACTTTTTTGGTGGTAAGTATATCCTGCCCCGTATATATATATATATATATATAGAGAGAGAGAGATTTTTCGGATATACAATGACTGAACCTAAGCATTGGTGCAGTCTTATAGTTTGAAAACATTAAATATGAGAAATTATAACCATATAAAGGTGGAAATTAATATAATATTTCTATTTTCTACAATTAATTTTGGAAAATATTAAATATCGAGAATCATAACCATACAAAGGTAGAAATAAATATAATATTTTCATTTTCTACAATTAATTGTGAATGCGAACTTCTTTTATCTCACCCAAAACGATATTATTTTTAACTGACAATATGAAAAATTATATACAGTGACAGTACAAATAATAAATCATATATATATATACACGCTTCTCGATATCATTTTAGGATCTGAAGAAAAAATAGAATGTGAGGATTTTATTTCACTTTTGTAAGATGAATCTTTTCGAAATTCTTTGTATTTTTTCCCCAAATTCCAAAACCATTAATTATACTACCCTAACAAGAAGTCTTTAAATAATACTAATAAATTTGAGTAGTTAGATACATCAAAGTCACCCTACTAAATAGATTAAAGGTAAAATTTATATTGGTATAAAGTGATTTTACTTTATTAAATATTATATCAAATTATTATTCTCTAAATGTCAAATTCACATTCTTGTTAATTATTAACCGTTGTAATACGGTAAACCTATGTTCTATTTTGGTGACAGAGATGTCCAATTAGTGGTTTGTGAATTGATCTTGGATCTGAATGTCATCACTCAGGCATTTATGGGAGAGATACCTTAGAGATCAACGACTCACTTTGCACTATAGTAGACTGCATAGCCAAGGCGTGGGGTATATGCTCAGTGACATCTAAGAGAGTTTAGAATGTGTTACCTGGTTGGCTTAACCCATTAATTATAAACGGGTTACCTGCAATGAGTAGATTTTTGGGCCTCTTAGGAATATCGGGGTCCAATTCATGATTCACAGCTGTCGCACTAGGATTTCTGTAATTAAGGAATCTTTCCTTAATTTCTCTCTTAGCCATTAGCCCTTCTTAAATGTGGGTTTTTGTTAGGTCCATAACAGTTACCCCCAACCCGATAGTCGGGTTGTCTGGGCTGTTGGGGTGTATATTATGTCGGTTCTTTAGTTCTATTTGATAAGTATATATGGGTTGCTATGCACTGATTCTGATCACATTCACTATAATTTATATTGGTATCAGTAGGTCGGCTATGTTCTTAGTCCAAGACTTTTTAGCCTTTAATATGTGGCTTATGGCTTTAACAATCTTGTTGTGTTGAATTCTTACCTCGGACATCCTCCTTTGCTTCCATACATGGTAGCCCGAGTGTCTAAGGTGGAGGGAGCATGTTGATTTATTAATCTTGTTGGTCACCGCATTTAGGGGCTCGACCACATTCTCAAGTCAAGCTACACAGGCCCCCGTCTTTGGTCTTATGTTGTCTAGGTTCATTTATGTTCCAGTAATGTTGGACGACATTGGTTGCCCGTCTGGAACAGTGCCCATAATGCGACTGTTTCAAGAATTATTTTCTGATTTTCATGCGAACAGTAAAAATTCCCAATATGCCACGCGTAGAAGTTCGCTACAGCGAGTAACAAACTTGCCTGCTGATGTGGCACATTTCTGGTGACCACCTAGTTCACTACTAGTAGTAACCAACTAGGTGGTCAAAATGTCATTCTGCTACGAGTAAAAGCAGGACACATGGCACCCAATAAGGAGTTTGCTACAGGGCATAGTGAACTAGGTACAACAGTTAGAAAAAAAGTCCTCAAAGTGTATTATAGTGAAGTTCAGCCCAATTCAAATACATTGACCATTTTTTATTCTGATCGGAACAAAAGGCTCTAAGGTATTGTTCCAAGTACTTATTGGTTACCTCTATTTGTCCATCTAATTGAGGATGATATGCAATACTTGTCCTCAAAGTAGCTCCACTAAATCAAAAAAAAGCATCCCAAAATTTACTGACAAAAACATTGTCGCGATTCAAAACTAAAGACCTTGGGAACCCATGAAGTTTAACCACCATTACACAAAATAATCGTGCTACAGATGCAAGTGAGTAATTGCTCCAAAGTGAGCAATCTTGGTTAAACGATCTATAACTACTAAAATCAATGAGAATACATTTAACAAAGGCAAATCAGTGATAAAATCAAGTGTAAGGTCCTCAAAGACACCTTCTAGAATTGAAAGTTGATGTAACAAACTCAAGGGTGGTGATGTTGTTGTCTCAACACACTGACATATATGGCAGCTTTTAACAAAGTATTGACATCCCTACGCATTTGCTTCCAAAAGAAGGAAGCTGACAAATGCAATAAAGTCTTTATAACTCCAACATAGCCACCCACATGTGATGAATGGGCTTCCGCAATAAGGCCTTGACACAATATTGATTTAGGATTCAACAAATATCGAACTTTATGAAAAAGAATACCATCCTTAACAGATATTGCTTGTTGCATACCCTTACCTTCACACAAGTCTTGATGAATCTGAACCAAGTATGGATTTGTCGAGTTTTCTATCTCAATTGGTCAACCAGGCTATATGTAGGCTCAACAAGACAGCTTTTGCTGATTCTTCTTCATAACTCCTTGATAATGCATCATCTATGACATTACTAGTGCCTAATTTATATTCAATAAAGAAATCATACCCCACTAACTTACAAAGATATTTTTTTCTGTTCAAGTGTGGAAATCGTTTGAGTTAATAGCTCTTTGAGACTTCGATGGTCAGTTCTAGCCACAAACTGTGATCTTATGAGATAATGTCTCCATCGCTTAACATCTTCTATAAGAGCATATAATTCTCTAACATATGTCGAAGCTAGTTTCATTTTTGTGCCTACTTTCTTACTGAAGTAAGATGTAGGTAGGCCTCCTTGAAAAAAAACAACTCCCATTCCTGAATTGGAGGCATTAGCTTTAATGACAAAAGGCTAAGAAAAATTTGGTAATCTAAGAATAAGGGTATAAGATATAGCATCCTTCAATTTCACAAATGCTTCTTCTGCTACTGAAGACCAAGAAAAGGCATTTTCTTTCAATAAATCCGAAAAAGGTGAAACAATGGATGCATAATTACGAGCAAAGCATCTATAATGCCCGATTAATCTGAGAAATCCCCTCAATTGCTTAACAGAACTAGGTGTAGGCCATATGGTCATTGTTGATATTTTCTTAGGATCAACTTTAACCCCTTCACCCGAAACCAAATGGCCTAAATATTCTATTTCATCAATAGCAAATGCACATTTAATTAGCTTCACACAAAACTGATTTTGTTTCAAACATTCCAATAAATCTTCAGATGATTCACATGTTCCTCAATAGATACATATACACAAGAATATCATCAAAGAAAATGATGATGAACATACGAAGATAGACTCTCAACATCCTATTTATTGTTGCTTAGAATGTTGAAGGAACATTTGTCAAGGCAAATGGCATGACCATGAACTCTTAATGTCCTTCATGCATACTGAATGTTGTCTTACAAGTATCTTGAGGAACTACTCGAATTTGATGGTAACCACTTTAAAGATCCAGCTCGGTAAACACCCTTGATAACTTCAATTCATCAAGGAGCTCATCAATTGTTGGTATAGGAAACTTATGTAGATACAAGGTATTTTTGATGATATCAAAGTGGTAACAACAAAAAGAGAAGTGCATTGATCAATAGCGAAAATCATCAACCATATGTGGATATTGAAGATGTATGATGTAGCCACACAAGAAGAGTGATGTCATATCAAAGTGGCAAGATCATTGGATCAAGTGCAACACCAAGATTAAAGACAACTAACCATGGACAACATCTCAGAGAAGCACAATATCATAACCATGATGAAAAATGATCAAAACCAACAAAGTGTCAAGCATTGTCATATCCAACAAGTCAAAGCATCAATCTCAAGAAAAGATCCAAGACACAAGACATAAAGCTAAGTCTAAAATTATTTTTGGAATATATCTTTAGGACTTAGAATATATGTGAGGGTATATGATAGATTGCATTACATGAGCTTAAAGTTTTTCTCAAAGTAAACATGTTTTTCAAATTGCATAATCAAGATGTTTTGCAAACAAGTTTTTCAAATCCATAGAAAAGATATTTGACATATTTTATAACTTCAAAACATATTTATCAAGTCAAGATCTTTCATAAAAAGTAGTTGGAAGCAAGCTAAAACACATATGAACTTAAAATTTATTGTTTAATTTTGCTGCTGTCTTCCATACACTTTTTCGTATCTAAGATGTTGGATTTAGATCTTGTGTTCTTCATAAAAGTTGTAGATTTATCTTTTATCTTTCCAACAAAACCAAGATCATATCAATCCGACAAGTATAACTCAAATTATAGCCAAAATAAAAAATAGTATTTTTGCTGTCAAGTTGGGAATCATTTACCACTGCGACAGATCTCAACGGCTATAAAATGGCTAATTTTTCAAATGAGATCTCAACGGCTATAAATGGCTATAAAATAGCTAGTTTTTTAAATGAGATCCCAATGGCTATAAACAGCTAGTTTTCCAACGGCTATAAACGGCTAGTTTTCCAACGGCTATAAACGGCTAGTTTTCAAACTGCTATAAACGGCTAGTTTTTGGAAACACTATATATGCATTCACAATGACTCAAAAACATTAGAGCATTATCTCTACACACATTAAGCATACTTTGAGAGCTTCTACACTATCACTTGCATATTCTTTCATATCTTTCAAAGATCAAATATATTTGAGCTCATACCTTGAAAATCCATATACCTATAGTGCTTCAAGTTGTATATCCACACTTTGAGAGTGTATATTCATTTCGAAATATTTTCTCGTTGTATCTTGAGTTGAAAGGGTTGTGAGACCCATTGTTTAAGAGGTGGCCAAATACCTAAGTAAATTTGGAGTGAATTGTAAGGTTACCAAGTACCCGTAAACTTGGAGATTGAAAGGTATCTAAGAACCCGAAGTCTTGGAAGATTGTAAAGGTTTGTCAAGCACCCGAGAAGCTTGACCATTAGTGAAAGAGTTGATCGAGCGGCTTCAGTCTGGACGTAGGTCACAAGTGGTGGTGACCGAACCAGGATATATTGTGTTAGCAATTCTCTAAAATCTAAACTCTTTATTTCTAGCACTTTAATTGCTTCTTTGATATCTTGTATGTGCTAGCATAAGCTCTATAATTGTGATATATTATATGTTATGGATTGTCTGAATGTATTGATTAGCTTTCCATATATCAAAGTTTGCTTTAAATAATTATTTAGAAACTAGAAGGGGGCTTTTGCGAAATTTTTATAATACTCAATTCACCCCCCTCTTGAGTATGGAAGCTACATTCCTAACAACTTATCGTTCACAATTATATTTTTCAGTTGGCGGTAATTGATACACATTCTCCACGAGCCATCCTACTTTTTGACAATGAGCATAGGAGAAGAAAAGGGGCTACGACTCTCCTTGAATATTAATCCTGCAACTAGGAGATCAGTGACTTGCTTCTCAATCTCCATTTTCTGATGATGGGCATATCTATAAGGCTGCATATTAATTGGTTGCAAGCTCTCTATTAAATGGATAGAATGATCATAGCTACGTGAAGGAGGTAAGCCCTATGGAACCTGAAAAAATGATTGAAACAATTGAAGGACTTCCACAATTCGTAAGGGAAGCTAATTTTAAGAGCTTCTATCTCTGGAGCAGAAACTGAAGCTACAATTTTCTCAAGAGATGAGATCAAAGCATGCAAGCTAGGTTCCAATGCCTCATTATTGACACCATGTAACAGTACCTTCTTGTAAATTCCATTCAAATTCTATGGATAAAGAAGCATATTCATGTAAAACTCTGCCAATTTACTTAGCCAAGCAATACCAACTATTATCCCTAAATCAGCTAAATCAATCACCAATAAATCCACAACAAAATTATGGCCTTGGATATTAAGTTCCATGTTCACACATTTCCTATCACAATTCAAGAAATCTTTATTGCCTAGGTACAATCTAATTTTGGAGTTTTAGACACCATAAGATGATATTTATCTACCAACTCTCCACGGATGAAGTTATGAGAGTCACCTGAATCAATTAACATAGAGACTTTCTCCTCTATTAAGGGAATCAAAAAATGAAGGGCTCTTGGATTTTTATCACCATGAAATGAGTGTAACACTGCATCTAATGACTCTTGTGACTTATCATCTGGTTGCCAAATTATCTACTCTTCTCCTTCTCCTTTGTTGGAGATTATATGTAACAGTATATTGTTTGAATTCTTTGTAACATATATTGTTTGAATTCTTTGTAACCGTAGGTTTGAATTCTTTGTAACGTATATTGTTTGAATTCTTTGTAACCGTAGGACTGTTTAGATAGAGTATTTATTTGTTTTAGTCTGTTACGTTGTTAGCTGTTAGCAAATCACTGATCTTGTGCTAACCATTTATTGTATGTTCGCCTATTTGAAGGCTACCAATGAATGAGATAAACACACAGTTGAAATATCAAGTTTATCTTGGTATCAGAGCAATCCTAGTATACACGTTTCCGCATTCCCTTTAAGTGCGAAAGCTGGTTCATTTAACATGGCACCAGGTGGTGGCAGCAAGTCCAAAACAACTGATCCTAGTTCGCCATTTTACTTGGTTGGATCCGACAGTCCAGGTCTCTTGTTAACGACTGTCATGTTGCGTGGTGAGGCCAACTATGACAACTGGGCCAAGCTCATGAAAAACGCATTGAAGGCGAAAAACAAATTGGGTTTTGTGACCGGTTCAGTCAAGAAACCAGGAGAGGATGATGCCGAAGAGTGGCGCGCCTGGGAGATGTGCAATTCGATGCTCAATGGTTGGATTCACAACACCATTGATGCAAAACTTCAACCATTCATCAAGTGCTTTGATGACGTCAAGGACTTATGGAATGACCTAGAGGAAAGGTATGCAGTGCAAAACTTTCCAAGACAGTATCAACTGAAATCCAGTTTAGCCAATATCAAGCAACACGGAGATAACGTTGGTGATTATTACACCAAACTCAAGGCTGTATGGGACGATCTGGAAGGCAGCAAAACTCGCAAGTCTTGCGATTGTGGTGATAAGTGTGCCATTGCCAAAGCAATCGAGGAGGAGCAAGAGCATGATCGCGTTTATCAATTTTTGATGGGGCTAGATGAATCTACATTTGGCAATCTGAGATCCCATATCCTCAACACTTCTCCTCTTCCTAGTGTCAACAAAGTGTACGCAATTGTCACTCAAGAGGAGACCCATCGTAGTATTTCTCGCGTTCAAGATGAGAGGAGTCAGGTAGTGGGATACTCAGCCCAAACCGATTCCATGAAGCAGTCAGACACGTCCATGCAGCAGCGGATGGTTCCTAACAAACCACAAGACAGAATACCTTGCCCTCATTGTGGCAGGACCAATCACGACTTTTTCAAATGCTGGAACGTTCATGGTTTTCCACCAAACAGGAGTGCTGGTCGCGGACGAGGAAGGGGAGGACGTTCGACAGGACGTTATACGCATGCTCATGTGACGTTTGCAATGGATACCTCACACCCAGTTGATGCTAACTCTCTTCCTCCAGACGTCTCCCATTCTGCCTCTTCTCAAGTTGCTGCACACTCCGTTTTGACCCCAGAAATTGTGAACAAACTGTTAACATTGGTAGACCAGCCTCAGTCACATGAAAAATTATCTGGTAAGCGTATTCATTCTCAATGGCTCATTGATAGTGGGGCCTCACGTCATATGACAGGCACTTTGGCTTTATTAGCTGACATTACACCTATTCCCCCTCTATCTGTGACTCTACCAAATGGTTCTATTACTTATGCTTCAAAACAAGGCTCGATGGTGTTTAATACAAACTTCAGCTTGTCAAATGTTTTATATGTGCCTAACTTACGCTGCAATCTCATCTCTGTTTCCCAATTGCTTCACTCCAAGAGCAATAGCGTTACATTTATTGATAAAAAGTGCATTTTGCAGGACCAAGTGCTGAAGAGAGAGATTGGTTTGGGTGAACTTCATGAAGGAGTCTATGTGTTTCAGCCTTCATGTGCTTTAGCTTCGGCAGTTCAAGCAGGAGAGTCAATTGACTTGTGGCACAATAGGCTAGGCCATGCATCCTATGATATCTTATCTCTGGTTCCAGAATTTAAAGCTTTGCAAAATAAAGTAGTAGGTAAGGCATGTGAAGTTTGTCATCGTGCCAAGAAAACTAGATCAATGTTTCCTATAAGTTTTTCTCGCAGCAAAGAATGTTTTGATTTAATCCATTGTGACACTTGGAGTCCTTATCAAAATTCTTCTTCTTCTGGTGCACGTTATTTCTTAACTGTGGTGGATGACTATAGTAGGCATGTATGGGTTTTTATGTTGGCCGATAAAAGTGAAACTTATGATCGGATGTGCAAATTTCTTGCTATGGTTCTGAACCAATTTGGTAAAACTGTAAAAATAATAAGGTCTGATAATGGTACTGAGTTCAAATCTAATAACATGGTGAAACTCTTGCATGAAAAAGGTATTTTGCAACAAACAACTTGTGTTTATACGCCTGAACAGAATGGGAGAGTCGAAAGGAGGCATAGACACATCCTTAATGTATCACGTGCCTTACTGTTTCATGCAAATCTCCCTGTTGATTTTTGGGAGGAGAGTATTCTTGCTGCTGTTCATATAATTAATAAAACACCTACAAGAGTTCTCCAAGGCAGGTCACCACATGAAGAATTGCATGGAGTTAAACCAGATTATACATACTTGCGCACGTTCGGTTGTCTGTCATTTGCTAATACAAGACCGAAACCAACTGACAAGTTTGCTCCACGTTCGCGACGATGTGTTTTCATCGGATATGCAATAGGGCAGAAAGGTTGGAGATTGTTTGATATAGAAGCGCAACAAAGCTTTGTGTCCAGGGATGTAAAATTTTTTGAAAATATTTTTCCTTTTCGCGAAGCTCCAGTACAATCTGTTTCTGCACCAAATTCTCGTGTGCCTACAGAGCCAAATTACTTTGACGAAGGCCAAATTGTCCATGACGGTTCTGATGCATCAAATGACAGCCCAACGCCTAGTGGATCATGTGTTCCTCTGGACGATAGGGGGAGTGTTTCGCTGGAAGCAACACCAACTAACGAAGTTGCCGCTAGGGAGTCCTCCTTACTAGAAAGAAGTTCGAGTTCTAGTGATGCATCAACCCAACAGCAGTTGCTGGAAGCAAATCTGCGTCAAACAGTCACACGCCAGCACCGTACCAGGAAACAACCATCTTATTTGCAGGACTATGCATGTCAAGTAGCTGAAACACACACTCCTTCATCTCCCCCTACTCAAACCAATGTCACCTCTGGTACTCGGTATCCTATGTGCAATTATCTTAGCCTCACTAACTTTTCTAAGCAACATCAAGATTTTGTTGCAGCTATTGACACAGGTCATGAACCACGTACATTTCAAGATGCTATGAGAGACTCCCGATAGGTGGAAGCCATGAGGGCTGAAATCACAGCCTTAGAAGACAACCATACATGGTGCCTCATGGATTTACCTCCAGGGAAGCGTGCTCTTCCAAGCAAGTGGGTGTTTAAAATAAAATATCGTTCTGATGGAACGGTGGAACGGTATAACGCAAGATTGGTGATTGCAGGTAATTATCAGATTGCCGGAGAAGATTACAGTGAGACTTATGCACCAGTGGCAAAGATGGTGAGTGTACGTACATTGCTTGCAGTGGCTGCAGCAAGAAACTGGGAGTTGCACCAGCTTGATGTTCATAACGCATTCTTGAATGGAGAAATAAGTGAGGAAGTTTACATGAGATTACCCCCTGGATTCAGTACTGGGTCTAAGCATAAAGTATGTCGTCTTACAAAGTCATTGTATGGTTTGCGCCAATCACCCCGAAACTGGTTTTCCAAACTCAGCAGTTTGTTGACGGCATATGGATTTGTTCAGTCAAAAGCTGATTACACGCTCTTTACTATGCAAAAAGGGGAGGTGTCTCTTGCACTTTTAGTTTATGTCGACGACATCATCTTAGCAGGTAATAATTCACATGCTTGTCTTGCAGTCAAGGAGTATCTGAATCAGTGTTTTAAAATAAAAGACCTGGGTAGTCTGAAATATTTTTTGGGTATTGAAATTGCCCGCAGCAAGAAAGGAATATTTTTATATCAGCGTAAGTATGCCCTGGATATTCTTTCTGATTCCGGGCTCAGTGGATGTAAACCAGCGATTTCCCCCATAGAACAAAATCATCGTCTTGCCTTGGATGACGGACCAGTATATGAGAACCCTGAACGGTATAGAAGACTCATTGGTAAGTTGATTTACCTCACTATCACAAGACCCGACCTGAGCTATGTTGTTCATATCCTTTCTCAATTCATGCATTCACCGCGCCTAGCTCATTATGAGGCTGTTCTCCGGGTTCTTCGATATGTAAAGAGAGATCCTGGTCAAGGACTTCTCCTCAAATCGGATTGTGACCTAAAAATTCATGCCTATTGTGATTCGGATTGGGCTTCATGTCCTCTTACCAGACGATCTCTCATTGGTTTCTTTATTATGTTGGGTTCTTCACCCGTATCCTGGAAGACCAAGAAACAAGTAACGGTGTCTCGCTCTTCTGCAGAAGAAGAGTATAGATCAATGGCTGCAGCTACAGCAGAGATTGTGTGGCTCAAGTCGTTTGTCACCTCTCTTGGGGTCACTCACTCAAGTCCTATGGAATTGTTTTGTGATAACCAAGCTGCTTTACACATTGCAGCGAATCCGGTGTTTCACAAGCGTACCAAGCATATTGAGTTAGATTGCCACTTTGTACGTGAACATATTCTAGCCAAGCATATTACAACAGCTCATGTGCCTTCTCGTTCCCAACTTGCTGATTTGTTTACTAAAGCCTTGGGACAACGCAAGCTTCTTAGTTTTCTTCC